GTGTAAATACATTGTACACTATACTTTTGACGCACTTTTGGTAATTAAAATTAAATAATTTAAATTTTTTCTGATTAAAAAAATAAAGAATAAATTTTATTGATAACAAAACTTATTCAACCATTTAAAATCACAAAAAAAATTTTTACCTAATAAAACTTATTTAACCAACAACAAAAGAAATATTTAAAAGTGAATTTTTAATTTTTATAAACATTTTAATTTTTATAATCATTTTTATCACAGTAAATCAACCGATTCACGGTAGCCCGATTCATTGTGCCCCACCATGAAAAATAAGGTTCAAGTTTAATTTCTTGGGACATAAGTGTTGTTAAAGGAAAAGCAAAACTACTAAAACAAAGCATAAACATCAGTATTCCGAATATAAATCTTTAACTTATAAAATGATTTTACCATGATCTCCACAACAAACATAAAGATGGTAAGAACATTTACTTTAGTTGCTAAAAACATAAATTACCTAACAAAAACCAAGAGTCAAAAATGATGTGATAACAGCTATAGATAAAGATGGGTGATATATGCGCACATAAATTGGTTGCATCATCGTGATGAACAAAATCATAATCTTTGAGAATCTTCACTGTGCCCCATCTAATAATATTTTATTCCATATAATATTTTATTATTTAAAACTCAATTCATTTCAAATTCAATACCGTGGACCATTTATATGGAAAAGTTTTTTAAAAAACATTATTAAAGATAAAATTCTTCTAAACATCTCCTAAAAACAATTCAAAAGAGAATCTAAACGTTTTCTATTAGAGAAAAACTACTTATTTCTTTTAATATTTCTTTTAAAAGTTTCTAAACCTGAAAAAGTCATCACTACTCATTTGTTGTTGTCTTGATGTGTATCTTATTTATTTCTCATTAAAATAAAATATATATACTATTAATTTTAAACAAACAAACAAAACAAAAAAACAGAAAATATTTTTACAATTTATTACTTGTGTTTTATATGTGTAGAACTAATATTGTATTTTATTTTTAACTTTATAATTTTTAACTTGTAATTTTGTGACGTCAACGGGGCTTGGCGATATGACAGTTTATGTCTTCTTCTTGCTCCGGCCATTTTTTATATATGTATGATCTTCCTCATTGTAAATTTTATTATACGGCAAAGAAAAAGATATTTCGAAAAAAAAGAAGTATTTCGATAATGTTTTAATCAAAATTTTTTGAAAATTACAATTTCAATAATGAACCCTAGTTAATAGTAATAAATTGAAATTAGTTATAAATGAAAAAGGTAGAAGTAAGAAAACTTTGAGTTCATGGTATAAACTAGCTTTAGTTAAAGGGATCCCTAAATGTTCCTAGCTTTAGTTAAAGGTATCCCTAAATGCTCCTAGCTTTAGTTAAAGGTATCCCTAAATGCTCCTAGCTTTAGTTAAAGGTATCCCTAAATGCTCCTAGCTTTAGTTAAAGGTATCCCTAAATGCTCCTAGCTTTAGTTAAAGGTATCCCTAAATGCTCCTAACTTATGATCTGATATGAAAGAGCAAAAAAAAAAATATGTAAGTTTTTATTCTTTTTCACTAAATTGTAATAATAAATGCATGCTAACAAAATGCAATTGCTGAAATCACTGAAAAACAACTCCATTTTGATTTGATTTTTTTACCATTGAAACTCGATTGTTAGTCGTTAAAAATCACGTTAGTACGTCACAACAACTTAAGAATATCTACTTCGATTTTCAAGTAAAAAAAAAGTCGTGATTAAATAGTTAAGTTTTAATCAAGTTTTTTTTAATTAGTTTTGCAAAAACAGTATAATACAATTCGGTTGAAAGACGTCGTTAAAAAAAAGTTATTAATTATTAGTTTAGAACTTATAAAAAAAGTCTTACAGGGCTCGTATTAAGCGTATCATGATTGCTTTTCACACTTTCGTTGATTAGTTTTTTCTTTAAAAAAATCTTTTCGCAATTTTTTTTTTTTTTTTTTTGGTTGTTTAATTACTTTTTTTCTAACTTAGCATTTTTTTTAGCAATTCTTAAAAGTAATATTTTTATCATAAAGAACGTCACACAAAATTTATTATTCTGAATAGATAGATGAATAGATGATTTGCTCTTTCGCGCTGAGATTTTCTTTCAACGTAAAACATTTTTGAATTTAAATTACTTTAAATCTCTGTGTGGAAAATTTTTAAAAGGTTGTTAAAGCAAAAAGTTGAAAAGGAAAAGACGTTTCGAGTTTTTTCTTCTTACTAACAAAACAGCTGGTTTTTATTTAAAAAAAAAACTGCAACTTAAACTTTAAATTATAAATTAAGCTGTAAATTATAACAGTAACTTACGCTATTTTAAACTCTGCCAAACAAGAAAATCATAAGATAGCATTTGAATATGAGAGATAGTATGTTAAAAGATAACAATTACGTGCTAAAGAGACAGTCTTATACTAACGCAAGCCTCTTCCCCAATTACCGCACATTGGCGCGAGCTATAAAAGAGAGGTGGGGGGAGAGCAAAAAAAAAAATTTTTTTTTCGCGATTAGATTTTTTTGCGTTAATTCGAGCTTTGTCTTAGTTTAATTTCTAATAAAATGTCTACTCAACCTTATTAATTTGAACCAAAAAAATACAGTAAAATTAATATAAATGTTAATTTATCTAAAACATTTTACAATAATTATTTTTTTGATCAAGCGAAAATGAAAATAACCGTTAAATATAACGTTAAAACCGTTAAAATAACTTTCGTTAAAATACCTTAAAATACCGTTAAAATAACTTTTGAAACCATAAAAACGGCTGAAATAAATTTATTTTTGAACCAAGGAAATATTTTAAATAAACTTTCATGTGTCTATATCAATATTCATTTTTTAAAAACTGACTAAAAAGAGTTTAAAATTTGACTTCTATTCATTTTTGGCCGTGATATCGCCCTTATAACACAAATATATAAATAAAAGTTATAAAAAAATTTTTAATATGCAAATATATTTTCACAAAATGCTACAAAACTTATTCTTGTAAGTAATTATGTGTTAGTTGAAAAAAAAGACTTTACTTTTAAATTTAATTACCAACTTATACGTTTGCAATAACGACATTTTATCTACTTTGTTTAATTTGACGTACAAACGTTAGTTTTTTGAGGCAACAGAGTCAATAAACTTTGAACAAGATGCATTTTTTTTAATCAAAGAAAAGCGTTTTTTTGAAAATTATATTTGTTAGTGTGTGTTCATTATTACTTTTTAGAAAAAATAATATACATCAAACATTTTTTTTTATGCTCTTTCATATGAGATCATATCTTTATAGCACTTAGGGATCCCTTTAAGGAACATAAATACTTGACTTTTTTTTATATTAGAGAGACAGCATAAAAGGGAAGCCTTAAGCTTGATGGTGATGACGAGAATGATGATGATGATGATGATGATGATGATGATGGTGATGATGATGATGATGATGATGATGATGATGATGATGATGATGATGATGATGATGATGATGATGATGATGATGATGTTAATGATGATGATGATGATTATGATGTTGATGGTGGTGTTTGTAATGATGATTACAATGATGATGTTGATCATGGTGGTGTCAATATATAAATATAAATGTATGTATATAAAATATAAGATAAATTTAATATTAAAAAAATATTTTAGGATGTATAAATGTTTATACAGCCCAGGTCACAAACCTGGCCCTGGCTATTTTTTATCAAACCTGGCCCCTGCCCTGGTCGAATTTCAACCCGGGCAACTATGTGGAAACTCAAAGTTACAAAATTACTTGAAATAATCAAGTTTCACTGCATTAACTTGTTGTCTGTAATTATTATAGCATCTTTTGTGAAACTATCATATATACTGCATGATCATCTTTAAAACTATTTATAGAAAAAAAATTTTTGAAATAAATCTTTGCAAATTGTGAAGAAAATTATCAAAGTTAGCATTGTTATGAAGAGTAAGAAACAGAAATACGATAAATTAAAATGATAAACAGCATTAAACAAGAAAGAAAAACAACTAATAACTATATATAAAAATAAATATATATTAAAAATAATGCAGAAAAAATCCAAAATATTTTTCATTTGAATTAATTTTAATTGGTTGAAAATATATAAAAATTGTCATAAGAGGAAAAAATATGAATGCAATTAAGGTACATTATAATTATATTATGAAGAGCAGTTAATGAAGCTAAATGTCCTCAAAAGTTTTGAATTTAATTTTATTTACAAAAAAAAAAAAAAAAATGAATTAGTTTAAATGAGAGATGGTTAAAAGAGAATTAAAAAAAATTTGTTATGAAAAGTATTTTACGTTTTAAAGCTTAAATAAATTTTGGTTTTCGATTTGTGATACATAATAATTTAACAATTTGGTTTGAATTGTTTTGCTTATTGATTTACATATTTTATATAAACTGTTACCTAAAATAAAATCTATTAAATTTTTGAAATTGTTAAGTAATTTAAAAATAAGTAAATTGTAAATCTAAAAACTTTTTTTAGATTTACAAATTACTTATTTTTAAACAAATTACTTTCTTACAAATTATAGTCTAAAAGTTACTGTGAAATTTTATTTTTATGACTTTTTAAGATGACCTAAAGGTATTTAGTTTTAGACATTTATATTTTTGTTATATTTATAGTAAAAAATTTTTATGCAAATTTTTAAAAATCAGTTTTTTTGTATAAGCGATGCATATTAATAAATTAATTTATTACAAAATAAATTTATTTCAAAATAAGGTTATTTCAAAATAAATTTATTAAAAGATAAATTTATTACAAAATCAATTTATTAAAAGATAAATTTATTACAAAATATATTTATTAAAAAAAGATAATTTTATTAATTTAATTGTAGTTTTGATTTAAAAATAAAGCAGATAAAATGATCAAATAATGGGAAAATTTGTTAAAAGTACCGAAATTTCAAAATTCATTAATCTAGAATGTTTTATGATTTATTAGTGTTACAAATTTACCAGAGAAAGGAACTATATATGCAACATTAGTTGGATTGCTCAATGAAAAAAGTTTTGACTTTGGAGGAGAGGTATTAAAAAAATTTCTTTGACTTCAAAATTTTATTAGTTGCAAAAAAAATGACTACAAAAACTTTTTTTTTTTAGTTTCTTGAATTAACAATGTGTAATTTAAAAGAAGTTATTTTCAGTGAACAATGGGATCGAGCTCGTCTTATGGTATGTTTGTTTCTTCATTAATGTATATAAAGTATTGCTTTTTTATGTAAAACTTTTTAGTGTTTGCTTTTTCATTAATGTATAGTACTGATTTGGGCTTTTTTTAAGGCAGTTTCTTAAGCATCACATTTTCTTTTTTAAGTATGATATTATGAAAGAGTTTAAGCAATTTTTTTTTAAATTTAGTGTTTGTATGTATGTCTTAAATACTAATTACAAGAAAAAACATGAAAAATGCTCTATCATGATTTAAGTTTTTTGCAAAAATAAAATGCTGTTGTTTAATAAAGGTTTAGTAAAGTTTTAATTTTTTGCAGCAATATATAAAACTGACACTGAATTACTTGATTACTTGTGTAAGTGATTTTATTCCTTCCTGAATGTCTGACTTTAGAGGTAAAAGGCAAACATTTGGGTGAATGAGAATCTTTAAATAACTTGAATGTTACTAGAAAGATGCATGAACAGTGATGATTCTACTTAAATCATTATATTACATAAAAAATTCTATGTTCCAGCTAACCTTTTTGGTTTTTATTTAAAGTTAAAGCTTCATATAACAATAATACAGACAGCCCCTGTCAAGAAAATTGTTTTATATGATAGTATAAACATGCTGAAACATGCAAGTTTCTGCTGCATCTTTGTTATTATTATTATTGTTGTTACAGTTTGAACTCATGTTATTGGAATCCTCAAGATTCGATTACGAAGAGGTCTCATGTAATCAAAAGGTCTCAATTACAAAGAAGTCTCATTACATAAGTTATAGAAGTTTAATCTTTAAACCAAACCCTGAAGAGACCGAAGAACTTATTTAATCTAAATGATCTTTTATAGGAGTTCAACTATGAATTACATCTAGGAGTTCAACTATGAATTACAAGAGTTTAACTGTGTCATTATTATTTTTGAAATATTAAAATTTACTTTATGACATTTTAAGTTTTAAAATTATATTTTTGAATTCAAATTTGACACATATACCTAATGGTGTAAAGGTATTATCCTTTACTCGAAAATATATTTTTTTTAATTTTGAAAGCACCAATTATAAACTGAAAAAAAAACCTTTTTTTTTTCTTTTTTGTTTTTAACAATATATTAATTATAAACAAAAAATATTGATCAATAAAGTTGTATAATATATATATATATATATATATATATATATATATATATATATATATATATATATATATATATATATATATATATATATATATATATATATATATATATTCCTATAATAAATGGCTTATATAAGATAATTAAGGTTAGATTAAAACACTCCATGCATGTTTTACAGAATGTTTTTTATTTTATTTTATTTTTTTACTGTAAAGCATAGGTAGAGTGTTCATTGACTATCTTATAGTCTGCTGCTACAAGGAAGTGCTGCTACATTGACTATCTTATAGCCTGCTGCTACAAGGGAGTGCTGCTGCATCCTATAGCATGATACACAACAGAGTGCGGCTACATCAACTGAGGGTTTGGTTAGGGCAGGCAGTTTATCAAATAATAAAATAAAAACTCCTTAAAACAAGTTTTTAAATTCTTTCAAAAAAATCCAAAGCTGACATTTTATGCTAATAAAATAAAATAAATTAAAATTGTTAAATTGGCAAATAAGAACAGTTAAACTCTTGTAATTCATAGTTGAACTCCTATGAAAGATCATTTAAATATTTATAATTAAGACTATAAAATAATATAAATAAAAATATAAATAAAATTAAATCTCAAGAAAAGTACTTATCTTAGGCATTCTACTTTCAGGTTTTCTACTAAAAATTTCCACCTCTCTACAGGCTGATACCTAAATTACTTTATTCTTTTTAAATAAAAAGTTAATAAAATATTTGATTTTTCTAAACTTATACCTCCTTTTCTTGTCTTGCTTGAGTCACATTATACACATGCTTGAGTCACATTATACACATCCATCTGATCATCTTCTCTTTCGGCAAATACTTCATCATATAAATAAATAGCAAACATATATGTTTATATTCATAATATGTATGCATAAAGTGCACCTTGGAAGCTTTTATTCCTTGTGGATTTAAAGTTTAGAAGATTTTAATAATTTTCTTCAGTTTTTAGTCAAGCCTCATTCTACTCCACATTTTTCACCATCTTGAGCAGTTGCTTTATTAAACATTTATCTTTATTAAACTTTATTTAGCTTTATTAAACTTTCTCTTTATCCTTTAGCCAATATGATTGTTGTTGGTGACTTTACTGGTCATCACACTGAATGGCTTGAGTCAGCGACTCTGCAGGCGTTAAGGCCCACAACTTTTGCCTTTCTCAATCTCTAACACAAATAGTCAACTTTCTTTTTTACAAGAACATCACTCTTAAGAAAAGCTAGAAACAAGGGAGCTTCTTTTTGTGAAGTTGCTAAACTGATAATAGTGTTTATTAATGAAGCATTAAATGAAGACAGTGTGTATAAACCACGTATAACTACACCTCCCATTGAATGACCAACAGCAATAATAGAAGTTGGTCTATTTTTTGCAAAAAAAAACTATCTTCTGCAAGAAGCCAATGTAAAAAATTCCTGTCTGTTGTTAAGCTCTGTTATTCTTAGTTTACTAAACTTGTATCTCATCTCATATGTTAGGTTCTAGAGACTTTAGGTTAGTCTTCAACAGTGTCATTAAAGTCTAACATTTAATCTCTAATTCATGGGTCAGATCTTTTTACTTCTCCCCAGAATAAAGCAGAGTTATTTGCAAAGAAATCATACTTTAATTTGAGTCTTGAATATAATGGCCATACTTTTACTGACAGTTAAACAGATTAACACATTATTAAACATTGCAATCACTCTGGCTTCCAATCCTAAATTTAATTCTCAATTAAGCGCTTCTACAATTTGTTCTCCAGACAAGATTTCCATCATAGACTTAAAAAAGACTTTTCTCCAGACTTTTTTAAGTCTATGATAAAAATCTTGTCAATTTTTACTATACTTTTAAAAAGTGCTAAATAAATGGTTCCAATTTTTCAAAACTTTAGAAAACACTTTCACCTTTCCAACTATCCTACGATTAGTCTTCACTTTGTTATTATTTTCTTTTTATAAAAGTTATTAAATTATTTCTTTCTAACTGCAGTAGTAAAGTTAATCTTGAAGGCCTACCCTCTTTTTTATTTAAAATAGCAATTAGGGTACCACAAAGTTCTATCTTTGCTCCTGTATTACTTCTTATCTACATCGTTATTATCAAGATTGTTGGTCTTCATGAAATCTAAAGTAGCTCTATTTGCTGACAACTCAACTTTATACTCTTGTCTTACAAAAAAGTTGTACAAAAAATCTTCACTTTTTAATTGCTTAGAATAAGCAGTTGAATTTAATTCTGATCTCTTTTCTGTAACAGCTTAAGGCTTGCAGTGGCTTATGGATTTAAATTCTGCACTTAGAATCCACAATTTTTGTTAGACAACAAAACTCATTTATTTACTGCAAAGAAATATTGCAATATTGTTGGCATTCCTATATTGACAAATAGGAACCCGCTTACACTCAGACAAAGTTTAAAAGTACATTGTAAATGTAATTAGACCTTTTTTATCTGCCAAGCTTGAGCCGTTCTCCTATAGTTGTAAGATTGAATTTCTTTCTTTTTTCTACAAAAACAATCATGGTCAATGCTCAAATGAGCATTAACCATGATTGATTATGATCATCTCTATAACTCATTCTTGCTTGGCTTTTTATTCAACAAGTTGCATCCTTTTACTGTATCTATCCCTTCATGTTATAAAAACTTTTATCAATTCAGTTTTTTTCCCTGAACATCAAAAAAGCCTTATAACTCTTACCCATTTTCATATTTTTCTTTTTTATACAATTTACAACTTTTTAAGTCTTCCGTTATACGTTTCCTAGTATTTTCACTTGATAGTGGTTGCTTGCAATCTTGTTGGAAGTAAATTAAATTTTAAAAATTATATAAATGTATGCCAGTATTTAATATATAGTAAATATAAGCATAAAATTATAATATATTAGGTATTATAAATTATTTTTTAAGCTCGGCTATCAGCCCTTGCTAAATCTTATAATTTTGCCAAGACTCGGGCCATGTTTGCAAAAAGTCTTATTTTTAATCGGGGCCGGGTCCCTTATCACTTACCACTTGGGTAGATGTTAATGAGATATAAAATCTAAGTTAACTGGTTTTGCACTCCATTATGTAATAAACAGCTATTGATAAAAAACCTGTGTTTCCAGCTTCAAATATTAGTATTCAAATGTATATATTAAATACAATATATACATTCTTGATCTGCGTGTACTTATACATCAATTTATTTGTTTGAAAGCAGGTTTAGCACCACTTTTCTTAATCAAGTCTTTCTTTTTGTGTTCTTTTTGCTATTTATCGTTCTACCTCTTCCAAAAGACTATTCAATGTTTATTTTTATTCAATGACTGTACTCAATGTAATTTTTGACTGCACTTAATGTTATTACCCTAATCAATTTCCCTCACTCTGTGATTCATGTCTTGTCTTAGATCCAGGCTTGCATTCAGTTTTTCTTTGTTCTTTTTTAGGTTGTTTAGAAAATACTTTAATTTTGATAAAACTTTTAACTTATTGCATCAGGTTTATTTTTTTAAAATGCACCAGGTTCATCCTTTTATTTCACTTATTGCTATTACCTATTACACTATTACTAGGTTGACTTGGATCCTCCTCCTGAATTTCTTCATGATGGTCCTTAGGCTGATGTATTTCCACTAAAAGTTGTAATTTCTATGTAGTTTCCAAAATTCAGCCAGGCATTGAAGCTTTAATTATTGTTGATTTTATGTCCAAAGTTCCATACTCATTGATGAGTCATTACTTTTCTTAAAAATCAGGCAAAAATGTTTGCAACTTTTTTTTTTTATCTATTGAATTTAAAGACCCATCTCCCTGTGAACATTCTCCCTGTCTAGGATTTGACCCAGAGAATCAGGTTAAATTACTATTAGACATCCAAATCTTTCTGGCTTTTGTTGCTAAAGTTATTACTCAAACTCATCAGCTTGTTGTCCAAATAACTTTTCTGTCAGTGTCTTACAAGTTTCTCAGAGCTCTCTTTAATGCTCTTTAAAGTAACAAGTGCTTAACTAAACCTTGTTTCCATGGCACATTTTAAAAAAATCTTGAAGTCTTTATGCCCCTTCTAACTATAACCATGTTTTTCTTAAACCTCATCTTGAGTCAACAACTTGACAACTCTCTGTTAATAAATACAGATTTTGATCCACACATTCTAAGGTGACTTGGTAACTGCAAGGTGACTTGGTAACTGCAATAACAGAAAGGTTCTATGTTGAATAAGATGAAAATGATGAAGTAGGGGCTGCTGCTCATGACATTAAAGGCTTTCAATAAAATCCGACATCCCGGTCTTTTCTATAGGTTCACTTCATATGGTATCATATATCATCTGGGAAAGTTTTTAAAATCATTCATACCTTTCTAACTGCAGTATTGAAGTTGTCTTTGATAAAAAACATTCTCCTTCATTTTAAGTAACTTAGAATACCACAAGATATTATCTGTGGTTCTGTGTTGTTTTTCATCTAAATTAATGGTCTTCCTGATAATCTTATATACCACAAGATATCATCTGTGGTTCTGTGTTGTTTTTCATCTATATTAATGGTCTTCCTGAAAATCTTACATGTTTACACTTTTGAAAAAGTCTGGCAAAATCTCTTACTTTTGAAGAAGTCTGACAAAGACTCTTACTTTGGAAGAAGTCTAGCAATGTCTCTTACTTTGGAAGAAGTCTGGCATTTCTAGCATAGTTTAGCTGATTATCAAAAAATACATATAACATTGCAAAATAGTTATATCTAATTTGTAATTTTATTTTTATTGTATTTTCATATTAGTTATAAGTTATTTATCATAATTATATAGTTTTAAATTGTTATGTAATTATAATATATAAATTTTCAGAAATCATATAATAGGTATCATATGGGTAAACCTTTATTTTACACAAACCTATGTATTTATTTATTTTATATAAAATATTTATATATTAAAAATTAATGATATTTTATCATAAAATTATTTCAAAGTATAAAATTATTTATTGTATTTATTTTGTATTTCTATATTAATTGTATTTATTTTATATATTTTTTCTAAATTGTCAAAAATTGCTTTTTGACATTTTTTAATAAAAATACGAAATAAATACAACTGTCTTTAGGTGCGGTTTTTATCTGACTTGATAAACTGCAATTTTTTGGTTGCAGCATCGTTAATAAGTTTTCTTGAAACTTTGATGAATGCTGCTTTACAAATAGGAGTGCCTCAGGTACTTTAAAAAAATATAGTTATAATAAATTTTTCTATGTTGTTTCACAGATTCTAATTTTTTTTAAATTAATGAGTACTTTTGTTCGTTTGTAAAAGATAATGATTTTATGATGTTTATAATAAAAATTATTTTTTTCAGGTTCGATCGGATTGGTTTGTGTATAGTATTCTGTCATCTTTACCATGGGTTTGTTTTTTTAAGTTTTTTTTTGATAAATATTTAACCCTTTTAAGACAAATTTTTAGTTAGTTAAACAAAAAGTTGGTTTTTATATTTAAATTGTTGATAAACAATAACATTAAATAAGGTTCCAACAAATTAGAAAATTTTAAATTTTAAATGAAGAAAATTTAAAGTGTTGATAAACAGTAACAAAGATTAAATGAGGTTCCAACAAATAAGAAAATTTTTAAATTTGAAATGAAAAATTTTTTTTTGTTTTGATACTTTGTTACTCTTACGTTATTAACAATTTTTCATAATTTTAAAACAGTTTTTCCATCTATTTAACAGTTTGATAACATGAATAGATTTTAAATCTAAAAATTATCAATGACTTTGTTGCAGCATATATTTTTTGCTATGTTCTAAGAAACAAAAAAAATTGCGCCTTATAAGATATTTGGCTAATACTGCATTTAAAATAAATAAATAAAAAATAAAAAAATATCTTTTTAATAAGTTGTTAAAGTGAGATAATATTATAAAGCATGAAAATTTCCATCAAAAACTTATAAAAGCAAACAAGAAAAGTTTTACAAATAGTTAAAATTAATAAATAATTATAAACAAAATCTTTTTTTGTTCTCTTTTCTTAAGTGTTTGATGGAAATTTTCATGCTTTGTAACATCTCAAAGATGGATATTTAATATTTTTTAAATAAAAAAACGCTTTGATTAAAAATATTATATATAAATATTATTTAATATTTATATATATTCTTGTTGTTAATTAATTATTAAAATGAAGCTGAATTAATGATATGAGTTAATTAATGAAATGAAGCTTTGTCAATATTGAAATTTACAATTCTCCTAAAGGGCATTAAACAAAATCAAAGTATCAAAATAGTTTTAAATGAGGGGAAAAAAAAAAGCATCTGATTAAATGGTTCCTCTTTCAGGCTACTAAATGTTTTATATATATATCTTTTAGTATAATTTTTATTTTAAGATTAACTTCTAAAATTAAATAACATAAAGAAAATAGCAGAACAAATTTCAACACCTAAAATTGAATTAAAATATAACTCTAGTATTTTTATTTTTCTCAACTATTCCTAATAGTTGTAATTTGTGTTCTTTAGCAAAATAAAAGTCTATATTCTGACTAAAATATGTTTATTGTAAACACGAAACCATTTGTTAAAATTATTTTTAAAAAATATTTATATAATTTAAAAGAAATTGCAAAAGAACTTGTGCAACAGCTTGCATCACAGGGGAAGTGAGATAAAGTTAGATACTCCACTATTCGTGTTTTTCCCTTTTTTGTTCTACTTAATTTGTCTTTTGTTATGTGCACATTGAACTTGTTTTTAAAAATATTCAACTTTCTTTAATTTCTTAAAAAATATTTATTCTTGTCATTTATAATGTTTTTTTTTCTATCAATTTATGTTTCCATATTAATGGTGATATGAAAACATAAATAAGTGACGCTGGAATCACTGATAATAAAGTTTTTTAATCCTGAATTCTTCCAAACATCTATTACAACAGAAACAACACATCTTTGTTTAGGATTCTCGCAGAAATTATCTTTGCAGATCAGATTCCTATTATTATGTGTCTGTGGGCAGGCTATGACCAATTTAGTTGAAATCTTATTGATCTAAACATTTAAAATAAAAGTTAATTGTTTTGTTGTTCTTTATTTATTTACTTCATTGCATCATTTTTTTATACTTGAAGGGGTATTGTGTTAAACATGTATTTTATAAAATTGCTAATAACATTTCTAATAACATTCAAATATAATAGTTATAGTGTTTTTATAAAATTTGATATTTTAGTAGGGAGTTTTTAGAAATTGTCCTAGAGTATTTCCAAAGGTTGGTAGGTGGTTTGTTGGAAGCTGATTAATTAAGTACTTCAAGAGGATCAGTAGCCTCCTTGGATTAGTCCACAAAGTGTGATTTCTTTTCTCACCCTTTCTCTTATTATATTTTTGAGTACCAAACGACCCCTTTCAGGTTCATTTGTTACCCCAACACAATACAATACATATATAATTTTTGATATGAGTTAATACTTTAAAACAAATCAACAATTGGTTTTAAATACCAGCTATGATATTTAAAAACAATATGATAATATAAATAATATGGTACATTTAACTTTGGATACTTAATTCTTAGTCTTTTCTGTTGTACCAAAAACTTAAACCTTATCTTTATCTGAGTGGTTTATTCAAAAATGCAGTAAAATCCATTTAATTTGTCTTGTCTTTAGCTGTTTTCCTGTATTTGTTTTTACTCAAATCTGAAAAATTTCTGCCGATCTTCATTAAATTTCATTTCTATTTCATTTTTATCTACAATACAAGGTAATTTGACCAAGTGTAAAGTGCAAACATTGGCTCTTTCACATCTTTTATAACAAAGAATCGTTATATAAAATCTAAATTTAAAGTTTCTATATTTAAATTAGATATTTGCCTGTAGTTGCAGGGTTAGAATTTATGATAAAGCATTTGTTTTTCATTGATCTGATGACTTTTCCTCTTTTTTTTTCTTCTTTCTCTCCCCCCCCCCCCCCTCCTTCCTTCTTTTCGATTTACTATTCTCTAACTTTCACAATTTTGGTATCCTTTTTATTTGTTATTTTTTTAATTCAGGTTGTAAATAATATTATTTTTTTAATAACATTTTTCTTTTTTTTAATTTAGTGATTTTAGATAATACTGTAAACTTAATTTTAAACTTATTTGGATAATACTTTAAAATTTACTTCTCCTAAAAAATATTTTTTTTTTTAACTGCTAACTAAACAAAACTATTTATTTTTATATATCAATACTGTAATAATATAAATGAATACTGATTTACTTTGATTATACCTAACAATACTAGATGATGTAATAATAATTAATACTGATTTACTTTGCAATCTTTCAGAGAAAAATTCAATTCTTACATCAGGAGTACATTTTTGCGCTCTAGCTAGATTTTTTTTCTCTACATACATATCACTGCAATGACATATGCCCATTCAGCCCTCGAAATTAGGAAGAATGAGGTTGGCAATAAATTGCTAACCATTAAAGTCCACTAAACATAATCTTTACATACAGCATACAGTTTTTAAATGGAAGAACATGGGTAGTTAGGCAATTTCAGCATTTGCATTAATATAACTTTTAAAATATTGAAGTTTGTTTTAATTTAAAATAAAAAATATATTTACAGTTTCAGTTTTTTTTTAAATAGATATTTTTTTATTTATTTGCTTTTCTTTCATTATCAATACTATGTGTATGTTTTTTTTTTTTTTTTTACAGTGTGGGAAAGAGCTTTCAACTAAAAAGCCTAATGAATTTGGACGATTACTTGAATCAATAGAGGTTTTTATAAGGTTAGATAAAAAAAAAAAAAAAATTCAATAATTAAAAGTTAACATGTGAACAAGGGAACACAGAAACACACAAAATGTACATATCTTTGAAATATGAATGTTAATAAATACATGCCATTACATAAATACTGATTATTTAGTTTAGCACTGTGCTTATATATATTGCACTAAGTTTTGAAATCAATGTAACAATCTATATATATGGATGATTTTAGACACAAAGGAACCAACCTCACAATTACGAATAATTTATTATTGAGTTATTATCCAAGCTAATTTGTCTTTTTCTCTAAACTAACTTTTTTAAACTTAGTTTCCTTGTGTTTAACACAATCCATATATCAGTCTTGGTCAGAAATAAATTCAAGATTTGCTATCATTGCACATTTTATATATGCAAGGTATGTCACAGATGTGCTCTAATTACACATCTTATATATGCTAGATATGTGAAAAATTTTGCACTAGTGCAGATTGAATACCACACATTTTAATCCTACTTAAGGCGTGCACTGTGTTTTTAGTCGATTTCAGGTCAACTCACTTTGGGTATTTTGCTTTATTCAGAGTTAATAGAAAGTAATTCTTGATAATAAAATAAAATTTTCTTTGGCTTCATATATACATATTATTTCATAAAAAATTTTATTAGAGTATAGAGAATATAATAAAACATTAATAAAATAATTTTATTATATATACAGGCCTTGTTTTGAATTAAAAAAGCGCTTAATACATTAGCTTTACATGATATTTGATGTCATAAAATTCTTATTTTTTGATTTTTAAAGACAACTTTTTTAAATTACTGCAATAATATTAATTTCCGCAAAACAACTTGAATGTCATTTAATGGCTTTTTTATTATTACTTTTTGATATTAAATAATTAAATTTATTATTGCATTTTTAAAAATGTTCAATGTTAACAAATTTCTTTTTTTTCTCGACATAAATGAATTAAAATATGTTAAATTTTTGAGTTTTTAAAATGATTATTTCTTAAATTTCTATTTGTGTTTTTGTAATTTCAAATGATTTATTATTTAAAAAAAATTAGCGAGTAACAAATGAAAAAATTACATTAATTTATTTATTTTATTTATTAAAAGTTTATTATTTTATTATTAAAATTATATTGTTGTATGTATCGTTTATTAAAAATTATTGATGAAATTTAACTTGCCTTATAAAAAAAAAAAAGTTTAACTTACGTTTTATGCAAAAAATCATTTTCAATTGTTTCAAATAATTTCAATTGTTTCAAATAACTTCAATTGATTTTTTATTTAAAAAAAATTATTGAGTAAGAAATAAAAAATTACGTTTATCTATTTACTTTATTTATTTAAATTTTAATAGTTTATTATTAAAATTACATTGCTGAATATATCGTTTATTATTAAAATTACATTGCTGAATATATCGTTTATTATTAAAATTACATTGCTGAATATATCGTTTATTATTAAAATTAGATTGCTGAATATATCGTTTATCATTAAAATTACATCGCTGAACACACCGTTCATCATTAAAATTACATTGCTGAATATATCGTTTATCATTAAAATTACATCGCTGAACACACCGTTCATCATTAAAATTACATTGCTGAATATATCGTTTATTATTAAAATTACATTGCTGAATATATCGTTTATTATTAAAATTACATTGCTGAATATATCGTTTATTATTAAAATTACATTGCTGAATATATCGTTTATTATTAAAATTACATTGCTGAATATATCGTTTATTATTAAAATTACATTGCTGAATATATCGTTTATTATTAAAATTACATTGCTGAATATATCGTTTATTATTAAAATTACATTGCTGAATATATCGTTTATTATTAAAATTACATTGCTGAATATATCGTTTATTATTAAAATTACATTGCTGAATATATCGTTTATTATTAAAATTACATTGCTGAATATATCGTTTATTATTAAAATTACATTGCTGAATATATCGTTTATTATTAAAATTACATTGCTGAATATATCGTTTATTATTAAAATTACATTGCTGAATATATCGTTTATTATTAAAATTACATTGCTGAATATATCGTTTATTATTAAAATTACATTGCTGAATATATCGTTTATTATTAAAATTACATTGCTGAATATATCGTTTATTATTAAAATTACATTGCTGAATATATCGTTTATTATTAAAATTACATTGCTGAATATATCGTTTATTATTAAAATTACATTGCTGAATATATCGTTTATTATTAAAATTACATTGCTGAATATATCGTTTATTATTAAAATTACATTGCTGAATATATCGTTTATTATTAAAATTACATTGCTGAATATATCGTTTATTATTAAAATTACATTGCTGAATATATCGTTTATTATTAAAATTACATTGCTGAATATATCGTTTATTATTAAAATTACATTGCTGAATATATCGTTTATTATTAAAATTACATTGCTGAATATATCGTTTATTATTAAAATTACATTGCTGAATCGTTTATTGAAAATAGTTGCTGTGATTTAACTTGCGTTATAAAAAGAAAAGTTTAACTTAAATTTTGTGCAATCTTATCATGCCACTGTTCATTTAAAATTTAATTTTGAGTTTAAAAAAAAAAAAAGTTTAAGAAGGAAAACCGAAAAAACAATTGCAATAAGAATAAGCTGATTTTTTTTAAAGAACAAATAAAATTTAAAAATCAAGTTACAGTTTTAAATTAAATCATATTATTTTTCATAATTCAATTTATGCTTTTATCGACTTTGCTTCAAGCTTAAAAAATTAATCATTACAATAAAATAAAAACAAAATAAAAATAAACTTTTAATTTTATTTATAATTTTATTTTAATTTTAATTTTATTTTTATTTTTAATTTTATTTTAATTTTATTTTATTTTATTAAACTTTTAATTTTATTTGAGTTTTGTTCATTAGTAAATGTTTACTAAGGAAAAATATTATTATTTAAATTTATTATTTAAATAGCGCTTATATCAAATTGTCATTCAAACTTTTGTAAAAAATATTTTTTCATAAACGTCATTCAAAACTTAATGTGACTTTTTTTAAAATTAATTACTTCTTTCATCTTACCGCTTATTGAATAATTTAAAAGTTAAAAAATGATGAAAAAATGGTCATCGGAAATCTCTTATTGCTTACGTGTAATCGCTTAAAGGTACGTAAGTCGCTTTACACTTAACGTTTTAAAACAAGATTTATATATATATATATAATATATATAATATATATATATATATATATATATATATATATATATATATATATATATATATATATATATATATATATATATATATATATATATATATATATATATATATAAAATAACAGGCCCTCCCATCACTTTTTTTTTTTTTCATTTATTTTTTTTAAAAGAGAAGTTCTAGATATAAAGGACTTGTTTTTAGAAATAGGTGGTTGTGTACCTCCACTTTAAAACCTGTGTCGTCGGCCATGAATATGCCAGTTTTATTTTCCATCCTTTTAATTTTTTTTTATTCAAATAATTTTTTATTAAATTTTAAGGGAGTTTTATTTTCAAATAACTTTTATTCTAGTTAATAAGATAAATAATTATTAGATAAATCAAAGATGCTTATTGAATTTTATCGTTTTTTATTAATTTAAAACAATTTTTCACGCATTTGCAAAGCGTGTGCTAATTGTTGATACATAATATGCAATAACATGACTGTAAACTGTTATCCATTAATACAAAATAGTTAATTTTTCTCAATTTAGTTTGTTAAATTTATTTACTTATAAAAAAACGTAAAGACTTGAAGAAATTTAAGTAAAAGGAAACTAAAAATAAAATGAATGTTGTTTTGACGTTCCTTTTTTAAGAAATTAAAAATAATAGTACAATATTAAGTATTTAATAAGTCATTATATTTGTTATTATAAAATATATATATTTTATAATAAATATATTTTTAATAGTTGTAGAAATATTTTAAAGAAAAACACTATATTCTTTAATCTTGACATGTTCCTAGTTAATATACTACATTTTCAAAAGATAAAATTACAATTCAAAACTATGGATATAAATATAAAATTAAAGTATGAAGACATTACAGAGAAATATTAACAGAAAAATAGAATTGTTACAAACCAATAAAAGTTATAATACAAATTATAATACCGTAATAACAAAAAAAAAAAAGTTATAAAAGGATATTGGTTATTTTTTAAAAAATTAGATGGATTTTTTATGTCCTTATCAAATCCTAGCCATGTGTTGTTGATTTTATATGTTCTATCAATTAAACAACATATAAGACTAACTTTATAATAATAGGATTTTTTGTAAAAGACCCAAATATGTTTTTTGTGATAAACTGCTGTGGAAAGCAAAACAGACTTATTGATAAGAACATATAAAAAAAATTTTTTTCTTATCTTTCTCTTTTTTCATTGTAAATTTCTGAGCTTCAAACTCTGAATTAAAATTAGTGATAATATCATCCACATAACATTTATAGAAAATCAGTATGGAGGAACAGCAATTACTAACCCATTTTTGTTAGTGAAACCCAATAAAAATATTAGCTAAAATTGGCGCTAAAGGAGAACCCATGGCAACGCTATCTACTAAAATTCATTATTGTGTTACTCGTCATTCAATTAAGTCTCATCCATTTTTTGTGACTGTTTCCAAGTGCTCTAAAAACTTTTATTCATCTAGTTTTTTCCCTTGAATATCAGTGTATTGGAATTCCCTTCCTTCATCTTTCTTTCCTGATTCTTATAATTTGCAATCTTTTAAGTCGTTTGTCAATCTTTATCTTGCTCTGCAAACTTTATTTTTTCTCTTCCAGTTACTTCCAAATCTTATAATGGTTGCTTGCAGCCTTGTTGGAAGCAATGATGTAAAAAAAAAAAAAAAATAGTTATAAGTAAAAAAAAAATGTTTAGGAAGGAAAACCAAAAAAACAATTGCAATAAACATGTG